GCCAGACAGCAGAGATGCCATCAGGGACATGTGTTGTACTCAACGAATGAACAGCCAGCTTGAGTTCTTATTGGTCACATACAGTAAAGAGGACAAGCCTGTGCAGCCACGCCTCTTAGCAACATTTAGATTGTGAGAAACTGAATAACCCTGTTTCATCGTATTAGTTACCAGAAAAAGATATGGACTTTAAAATTTAAGACTTTTTGTTTTTTTAAGGTTACGTGTGTGAGTGTCTTACTTATATTTGTGTGTCTGTACCATGTATGTGCCTGATGCTCACAGAGGTTGGAATAAGGCATCAGATCTTCTGGAAATGCACTCATGCGTGGTTGTGAGCCACCATGTGGTGTTGGGAATTGAACCTGGGCTTCTGCAAGAGCAAATACTCTTAACTGCTGAGGCAGCTCTCCAGCCCTTGGGATTTATTTTTCACATGTTTGTCTGTGGATCTGTGCATGTGCCAGTGCCTCCAGAGTCCAGAAGAAGGCATCATCTCTCTTGGAGCTAGAGTTAGAGATGATTATGAACCCACCTGCAAGCAAGAACAGGTGCTCCTAATGGTTAAGCCATCTCTCTGGTTCCATTATTCAGATGGTTTTGGGGAGCTTGGGACAGACTTCGTTACTCAGCAAGAGCAGTGTGTGCTTCTGAACTTTGGATCTTCATTTTAAACAAACTAAAAGGTTATTTATATGACAGTTAGACATTTAAATACTGTTATTTTATGTCTTATGATACAGAATTATTGATATAATTGAATAAATATATGCTGATATAATCTGGGAGTGGAGAACGGGTAGGGGAATAGATGAAGATTTGTCATAAGCTAGTAATTATTTTTAGCTGTTGGAGAGAACATGAAATTCCAGAATCCTATTATCTACTTTTGTTCACAGCTTGGCATAATAAAACATCAATGGGGAGAAGAAAAAGAAATTAAAACATTTTTATGTAGTATTTGTTAAATATATATATCTGTATGTATATGTCTGTATCTGTGAAATGGTGGTGCTTGGTTCAAGAAGGTGGGAAAGTCATACAATTAACAGTGTACAAGGTTAATTTTATCTGCTAGGAAGTTGTTGGCTATTGTTCTAGTCTCACTAATTTCCAGGTGTTGTGATTCTGTGACTCGCTTTTGTATCTGAGTTTCAAATGGAGCTAATGGAAGTGCTTGTTTCTGGGTTGAGGACCTGTGTGTGCCAAGGTCTTAGAACACAGTTTACCTCCTGGTGAGAACTCAGGGTGCTACTGATTATTTGTGCCTGGCCGACCTTCTTATTCTATTTAATGCACATGTTATTTCTTCACTCTTCTTTTGAAATTGTTACTTAAAATTTTCATTTTAGGATAATTAATATCTTATGTGTATGAGTGTTTTGCTTGCTTGCATGTTATTTGTGCCACATGTGTGCTGGTGCCTACAGAGGTCAGCAGAGGGAGTTTGATCCCTTGGAACTACACTTAGGGTTGGTTGTGTGCCTCCATGTGGGTGCTAGGAACAGAACTCAGATCCCCCTGCAAGAGCAGGTGCTCTTAATGGTTAAGCTGTCTCTTCAGCCCCATTATCCAGATGGTTTTTAAAAGATACAGTTTGTGACTAATAACCCATTTGAATATGATTATTTCTTAAAAATGGTTAAGATTAGGAACAAGTAAAATCAACACTTTAAAATACTGGATGTGGTGATAGAATTTAATAATCCTTTTTTTTTTTTTTTAAAGACTTTAGGTAAAGTTGGCCGAGTACAACAGATTTATTCAGACAGTGATTTAAAGGTGGAAGTTTGTGGCACATCTTGGACATATAATCCTGCAGCAGTTTCCAAGGTGGCATCTGCAGGATCAGCCATTAGCAATGCATCTGGTGGTATGTTTTATCTTTTTTCCTTAAAAATAATACCCAGTTCTCTGGCTGGGCCTGGTCGCACACAACCTTTAATCTCAGCATTCAGGTAGATCTCTTATTTCAAAGCCATCCTGCCTACAGAGTTAATTCCAGGACAGCCAGTGCTATACAGAAAAACCCAGACTTGAAAAACAAACAAATAACAACAGTAGAAATAGTTTCCATGCACTGATAGTCTTGTGTGTACACTTGGTTTTCTTCCAGATAACATTGGTTCACTTGGATATTAAATACTTCGTCAATTTTTCTTTTCTTATCCCTTTCCTCTTCCCTTCCCCTCCTACCCTTCTTTCCCTTTTCCCCCATTTTAGTTCC